GTTTCGCTCGATGACTGACTGAGCACCGAGCTGTGATGGAAAAGGGCGGCGAAACCAGACAAGAAAGAGCGGCTGTGGGGAGAGTGGGGTGAAGAGTGCAGGTGCGTTCTTGCGTTCGCAGTCTACTGGGTGCTGTTGATTGCCTGACTCTGGATACTGTAGGGGGACAACCCAAGGTACAATTATATAAATACAACGATTCAATGCTCTTAACCAACGGTTCAATGGATTTGCTTCACACTGCTCCCAACCATACACATTTGACCAAAAGGCCACTAACAGGTCACCCCCTGCCACTTTGAAGTCTTTTGCAGGTGCTGGTATTGACTCTTCTATGAGCATCTGCCCAAGCAAAGGAACGATCCGAGAGCAACACAGGGCCGGGAGAGCCTGGCTTTTCATGGCTGGCTCTGAGGTAACATATATGTTTCACTCGCACGTTTCGAAATCAAAGACTGTATATAACAAGTGACATGGATCTATAGTGTAGCCACCCGTCTCCTCCAACGTATCAGTCGTGTATATAGCCAGCCCGTCCATGGGTCAATACTTCCTTCGTCCCTTCATCCAAAAGGCCAAGATCACAATGGATCCGCTCAGGCTGCCGATGAGGCCAAAGCCTGCGAGCAAAACTGAAAGCAGGAATATGATGTTTTGTTGTTTTCCACGTGAGGCCCAAAGAACCAGATCAACTTGAGGTGAAATCCGATGTTCTCTTTGGATTCCGCAATTTAAATTGTGGAGTCATACCAACCTCATCAAAATATTAATCCTCATGATGGATATCCTGTGGAGTCACTCAGGGAAGAATTCATTTTCCTTGTCCTCCGCGCTGATTCATGAAGGATCCATCCCAACACTCTATGTGGTTTTTTTTTCCCAACACAGCAGGCTTCAGTGGACGATGCCTAATGTCGCAGGCAAAAGAACAAGTGATCCTCTTATCCTGACAGCTATGTATGGGGACACACTCATATATGGACTATTTACATACATTGACCCCAGGTCAACCACCGCAATGCAGTGTATGGGTACTGGGATGTACTGGGAAGTACCCAACACACCGAATCCATAAAAACACACCAAGCGAGTCGGACAGGACAGGGCCAGTTCAAAGGCACCGATCTTCCTCCGGTCCATGGAATGACCCAAGTCGATGGAATTCTGCAGTTCGAGCTGTCTTTTTCTTGGGCCTTTTCAAGTGGTTCTTGCAGTGCTTCACCCACCCAGTATCCAGTACAAAGTCCGCAATCACCAGCTGCTCAAGACCTTCACAGCGAAACAAACACGGACCATGCCGTGCACTTTCGCACTTCTTGATCTACCAAACATTTCCATATCATTTCCATATCGTCTCCCACCAAGTCGATCAAGGACCATGGACATGGGTGGTACGACCGTCCCCGACCGTCCCGCCCAGCGAAGCCTTCAGAGAGCAAGGCAGCAAAGCCCTCCCGGCCCTGACGGACGGGACGACAACTTCCCAGCGGATGGAAAGGTAAGCACGTACACCATGGGACTGGCATATATATATATATTGTTATGATTGTACTATTTATGTATTTAGTTGTGTATTTTGTTATGTAATTTAGTTACGTCATATTAATGATTATTGTTATACATGTATTAACTGTATTACATATTGTTGCACAATATGCCTAGATGGGTGTGTATCAGTTCGACCTCTGCGTTTGTTGTTTGTTGTATTTGGTTTTAACATGTGTTCATAGCATGGGTTGGGAGGCCTCCCTATTAAAGCTAAAATACATATCCACATTGACCTCAAAAAATCTCAAAAATATATAATATAAACTCCCTGAAAGAACCATGGAAGTGGAGAAATTGAAATCCTTACAGGGCCATTCCATCCACTTTGATGGCTTAGGAAAACAAAAACTTGCATGATTTTGCATGAAATGACCCGCTGCCTGGGATTCATTTCACCACGGCCAAAAACTTGGGCATCCACCCGCTTTTGAAAGGAGAATCGTTTCAGCCAGGAGACATGGACACCTCGAAGACTTGAAGTCATCCAAAAGAGGGAATCCACATGATATGTTGGAAACCCTATGGCCCAATGACAAACACAAGAAAGGAAGCAAAATGATTCTTACAGTAGCAGTTCTTTGTTCTTAGCGATCAGGACTCATGGTTCAAAGCTATTCTAGACCTTTTCCTGGATCATGCCGTCCAACAAAAACACACAGAACACATCAAAACACGCTGCGAAGCCACACACCCACGGGCTGTATCAACAGAATCCCTCTCCTGACCAAAGTCGCAGCAGGCCAACGGAGTGCCTGGCTGTCGGACAGCGCGGGTGAGGAAAAGGAAGATCTTGCCCCAAAACGCACCATGTATGGTATATTTACTTACATTGGGTTGGTTTCAGAAGTCATGCATTTACGCAATACATGGAGAGTCTGGGTTGGATTCAACTATATAAAACTCTGAGATCGATACATTGACCAATGCCAGGAACCCTGTCAAAGAAAGGGCTCCGGATTTGGTTTACGTGCGCAAGAATGTTCCCATGAGATTCCCGATGTCCACAGCGTCTCATCACAAGAGACTTCAAACACTCAATCAATCAAAATCAACATGGCAGCATAAACATCCAATTTGACATGAACACGGCCATCGTCATATCTGTGAGTCATGGCAGGAAATATTGGCTGACCAAATCATCGTTTCGTCCATCGGCCTTGGACCTTCACTTTTCACTACGACTTTTTTCGTTCGGCGCCTTGGGGTGTGGGACAGCAAAAGAGGTTCTCCACATCCAAGTGCTGGAAATGGTGCCTGCAGGTAGGAGGAGGTGTAGGAGGAGTAGGAGGAGCAGAGTAGGAGTAGGAGTAGGAGTAGGAGTAGGAGTAGGAGTAGGCAGCAGCAGCAGCGGCAGCAGCAGGAGTAGTAGTAGTAGTAGTAGTAGTAGTAGTTGTAGTGGTAGTAGCAAGCAGTTCGTAGTAAGTAGTTAGTAGTAAGTAGTTACAGAGGTCGGCCGGTCGGCTGGTGGCTGGCTGTCTGGCTGATTGAGAAATAGCGGGCCGCCCTAAGCTCGCAAAATGTACTAAAAGGACGTCTTCTGACAAATTTCACCAGAAAAACAAAAGAGATGAAATCAATCAACTCCATCTGTGGTGCCGGGCTCTTTGTTCCATCACTTGTTCCAATTTCTTTGGAAAAAAAAACAACTCCGATCCCGCCCATCTGAACATCGTCCGGTTCGCCCTAGCTGGCGGGTTAACGCGGTGCAAATGAACAACGGGCGTTTGGTGTCTGCAGCTGTGAGCTTTGGGGCAGATGTTCGTTTTGATCTGTAATGATCCATCCACATTCTCCTGCAGCTTGCAAGATACAACAGGAAAGTTGTTGGACGATGCTTCTCTCCTCTGCCAGCTGGTTGGGTGGAGGTCTCGTTGTAGCTCCCATCCCACGTCCGTCCGTCCGTCCGCCTGCAGGAATGCTCGGAGCATCGAGACGCTGCAAAGAGGAAGAGCGGTGAGGTGAGCTGCAAGGTGCAACTGGTCTTGTTGCCATCCTCAAGAGGAAGAGCATAGTCCGCGGGTGAGGAGTGTGTTTTCGAACAAAGGGGGCAAGGCATGTTGTGGCGTGGAAGGAGCAGCATGATCAGCATGGCGATTCTGGAGCGGGAGCAAAAAGACACAATTTGAAGATGTTGAAGAGTTGGAATTAGAACATCGTGTATCTATAGCAAACAATACGTGGAACCTAATCTCACTCCCGGTCCCCTAAAACCTACAACCCACTGTCACTACCAGCAAAAGAGTATTTAAACATCTCCAATGACCACCAGTGATAGCATACAGGTTCCTAGCAAATCCCTTATGAAGCACGACTCGATGTGTTGGTCTCTCCTGCATCAGCGGGAAGTCGCACCACAAACATTCGCCACCCACACCGGCCGTGCCGATGGGACAGGGCCTTGGTGGAGGTGGAACGCCTAATCAAATGGCCCATCTGACTCTTGGAGGTCCTAGATCAAAGAATTTTTGGGAGTCACCCAGTTGGGAATCTTGTAGTCGAAAGAAAAAGAAAAAGAACACGCTCTGAACAAAGCTTGTCTCTCAAGGAAACGCTTGTTGGGTTTGCTAGTCCGCAATCAGCCACTTGGAGAATGGTCATCCAACGGTCTCCAAAGCCATTGGTTGGGAGGTCTCCCAACAATATAATATATAACATATACATCCAAACACATTCATGCATCTTCTTGGTTTTTGCAGGGTCCTGAGAGGTCAGCAGGGCAAAACACTAGAACTCCTCTTGATATAAAGACATCGTAACAAGATGTAACGAGAATAGTATAGTCATAATACGTGCTAAAGTCTTCAGAGATTCAGTAAACATATATAACATCTTAACATGTTATGACATTGGTTCTTACATTGATCAATCACAAACGAACATAAAGAAATCCGTGCACATGGTATTGAAGCACAATGATGCATTTCTTTTCATGAGTTCTGCGTTGTTTCGCCCAATGCTCACATCCATGCCCACATCCTTCAACCAAAGCTCTCGCAGCTGCTCCGTTCGGGTATGGGCTGCAAACCGTCTGGACAGCGGGCGCACGTCCCAAAGGCGCCGGCGAAGAAGTCTGGGCACGGCTCACAAAAATCGCTGCTGTTGACCTCGGCGGTTCGAGAACCGCGTCGCTGTTTTCAGCAGTCTGGTTTGCGGTGAATCAGTCAGTCCATAGAAATTCCGTTCGAGTCGTCCGATTCCCACGGATTCCCATCTGAGGTCCTACATCACAGGCGTGGGCGGGATGATGTTTGTCAAAGCACGCACATTCCAAATGTCCAACAACATGTCCAATAGCTTTGCATCAGGTTCCAAAGTTTGCCCTCCCAGATCTAACAACAGTACCCCAGGGCTCCAACCATATCCTCAGAAGGTGGTTAGACCCCCCAAAACCAACTCCAACCACCTTCTGGGGATGTGGTTGGAGCCCAAGGGGTTATACACCGCTCATCGCTTCAACGAAACAAAAAGCAGTCCCTGGCACAAAACATGATGGCCATCTGTCCCAGTTCGCATCTGTTCGGTTCGGTCTCCGTACCAGTTCGGGCGGACTCTCTGGCCTCCTCCGTGCGGTTCCGCGGGCGTGTGCCATTGGGGCACTGCCCACAAAGGCCCTCCGAGCCTCAGTCGTTCGCCAACCATTGGAGGAGAGCCAAACCGTCGGAGGCCGTGGAGCGGAAGAATGAGACACTGAACGAGAGAGACCGAGAACCTGAGTGACCCCTGATTTGGAGGATCAAATATCAAAAAATACAGCCCATTACGGCCCATCAAAAAAGGAGGTCAAATGGCTTCTAGGCTGGGTAGGTGAACCTATCACCAACTCCATCGAAACGGACCAAAAGAAGGATGGAACATCAGTGAACTCATCACTGCTATCACCGGAAATCAACACATTTTCCCCCACATTTCCACAGCTGCGCCCTCCTTCCGACCAATTTGCGGGCAACTTCTGAGCCACTCGTTCCGGAAAGTCTGTGGAATCTACTCGTTCCGGAATCCTATCGTGGAGTCTTCTTCCCGTGAACCATGTTTACAGGTCACTGACCATATACGAACCTGAGCGACCTCTATTTTGCACCAGCAACCACCCAAAGTGTGGCACGAGTATTTTGCTATAACAGGGGTTCTAGGTAGGTTCTATGCCCATCTTACACAATGTTTCAACCACTGATCTTGAAGCACATTGAAATGCAAAGTAGCCATAAAATCCTTCCAGGCATGTCTCACAGCTGGCATGATCCACACTGGCGCCTGTGCCCTGGGCGGAACCATTCTGGGGCAAAGATAGTGATGCAGAAAAAAGCCTATTATTGGTCTGATAGGCATAACATATAGCAATAATATACTAGCAATGAATTGTACTTGCTTTATTTTCAGCTATGGCTTGTCTCAGAACAAAATGCACATGATGAATAGTCAGGTGCACCCAATGTTTGTTATATACAGTATAATCATCTATGTCTTTCCATGGTTCTTTCCCCAAGTAGGGTTCTCCTGTGAAGAACGATGGCGTCTTGATTGATGAGCACCGCTCCAGCTAATGCGTACTATGCCAGGTGTTCGCGTTCATGGCAAACAGGTCTGTTGTGCCTCAATATTGTTCAATACGTGGGAAACCATCCACAAACATCACATTAAGAAAAAAAAACACGTAGAACAAACCATATTGATGCAAGTCTTACACAGCTGCTCTGATATGTCTTCTAAGGCAAGCAAACAATCAAAGCAACAGTCATCTCACGCGTAAAAATTGCTTCAAGATGAAAGGTCGTCAATCCACAAGTGAACAAACACATTGCCTTTGAATGGGGGTAGCTTCATTCTAGCTCTTGACCTGTTTCGGCTAAACCAGCACCCATGTTGCAGTCGGTGCGTGAATCGATTTGCTAGACACATCACGAAAAAACGCCGTGGGGCGTTGAAAACGCGCCCAGCTTGAGCTGGGCTCTCCACGCGTTGCGTGGAATCTACCTGGCTTATTTCTTCTCCCTATTCTTGACCAAGAAAACCCACTCCAGCCGTAGCCCACTCAAAAACCCTCTGCTCACCCGCCTCAGGGCACAATGAGCAAAGACCCTCGGTCCCCGCAAAGCCAGGAGGACACGGGACGCACACGGAGCGGTTGGAAGATGGTTGCGAGCCATCGGGACAAATAGAGCAGGCAGCCTGGCGGAGTCCGAAAGCAGCCCCCGATCGGTGGAAGAAACGGCCTGAATGAGTCTTTGGGTCATGTGAACCAAACGAAGAAATCATCTCTTCGCGGTCCTCAAGCCTCGTCCCCACCTGGCTACCCCACCTCGTCCCCCGTTCGACTGTTTCTCCACCCGTCTGACGTACGCCGGGTCGTCGTTCGCACGCAAGCCGTACGCCCGGTCGTTCGTTCCGAGCTCGGAACGAACGGACGGCGCGGCGCCTGAAAGGCGATGAAACCCTCCGAACAGAAGATGCACATCGAGCGATCTGGGCTTTGGACCGTCCCCATCGGGCAAAACGAGCACGTGCCTTGGAGCCGCACGTGGAGCCAAAGCCGAGTGGTACGAGCTGGAGGAACAGATTGGATCGTCTTGGGTGCCGCAAGACCACGAAGATCCACCAACATCCGGCTGTTGCTGTCATGTCATGTTGCTGTCTGCAGGTGGTCTGTCATTTTGTCTAAGGAACAGGACGAACATGATGGTGCCCATCTGCCTAAACTAAATAGCTCAGCAACTCATGAGCTCATAACCTTGTGACCTGTGGGTTGTTCTCTGGGTTGAAGGTATCACCATGTATCACAATATCTAGATGATCTAGATGTAGCTTCCTGACACGTGCAGATCACTCCTGGACCCATCTTTTTCATGATCCAAACTTGTGGGGTATCGGCGGGTATCAGTATGGTCATGCTTTACCAAGGCCCACAAGCTGAGGATTTCGTTCGCAGCATCAAAAAAAGCGTGTCCATTGAACAAAGTAGATGACTGGACAGAAGCATTATGTGTCATCTTCAACGTTCATGTCATCTAAACTCACAGCCATCCCTTAATGCTGACTGTTGATGAACCTTCCAACGCTCGAGAAAAAAGAGGATTGAATTAACAAGTTCCTGGCCTTGTGGTTTGGACTAGTTAGTTACATGAGGGTCATAAGCTCTTTGTAGTTATACCTAGAACCCTGAAATGACCTCTTTATTAAGAAAAAGGCAATATTTTGGATAGTTGATCCTCCAAAACAGGGTCGGGCTACTCAGGTATTAGGTATGTAATGGTGTATATATAATTATATGTAACATGTATGTAACTGTTCAAACAAATACCCATTAGACCACCCATCTCCCCACCTCAGCATCCTCTCAGTCGCCAAGCGACCATTGGCACCGGCGCGCCCGGGCGCACACGCCACGCACAGCGCGGAGGCCGCATCCGGCTCCTCACCCGGGGCGCAGCGTTGGCACCTGGGAGGCTTCGCGGAGTCCACGCTTTAAATAGCAATGGCCTTCAACCTACTAGCAATGGCCTCCAACCTACTAGCAATGGCCTCCAACCTACTAGCAATGGCCTCCAACCTTTGCTAGTCATGGCCTCCAAGCAGGTAAGGGAACCAACAGTTTCCAACAGCAGCTTGGAAGTCCAACAGAAAGTTGAAACAACACACTGAATTGGGATTTACTGCCTCGGATCTGGGACAAATGTTGCATTGTCAAAAGGCAGCAATTCAGCTGAAAAAGCAAAACCAGGAAAGTGAAATGGGGTGGTTTATGATAGGACTAGGCCGACCGTTTGTCATTGTCTCAGTGTTGCGCCACAAATTTGTGTCAATGATTCAATTAAAAAAAAAAAAACACATATGGCAAATCCGCGTGAGTTGTGACATTCAGTGTCCTCCAAGTTATCTGACCCTTTTGGAATTCCGTGGTTCGTGACTCCGGTTGCCCCATGTCTTGGTTAAAAATAGTAGTAATAAATCATGAAAAAAACACAGACTTTCTTATTCCCTTTAGATTGTCGAAGTATATCACTCAACTTGATTGCAGTTCCAACATTCAACTTTGGCACTTCGCCACCACCATCCACTTTCGACCAACTTAAGCATCAAGAAGATATCAGCACCACCCTCCAACCACAAGTGGGTTTTTAATAGGGATCCCCATTGGTAGACTGGTCTATGGTCCTTTTTTTCAGGTTTTGAGAAGGTCGTTATGGGGAGGTCTCCCTATTTCATCAACCCCGGCGTCTCATCTGCCATGGCACACGCCATTGGCACCGGCAAAGCCACTGGCGCAGGGCACACATGCGACTCTGGCAGCATCGGGCTCACTGCCCTCAGGGCACAAGGAGCAAAAGCCCTGGGTGCCCGCAGTGCCAGTGGGGCACGGCAAACAGCTGGTGGAGTCTGCTGAGGTTTGTTCTCCTCAGTTGCTCGACGTGTCAGAAACTCAGAGTTTCATCATTTGTTTGTCCTTCCTTTCTCTCATGCAAACCGGGGTGGATTTCAAACAGTGAGGATCCATGATGATCATTAATACATGAGCTATAGAGTACAGGATCCCAAATGAAATGGAAGAACATGGAAGAACTGCTGTAATTTGGTTTCCAGGGTTTCTTCCAGGGCTATTTTAAAATATTCTAAATAGTCTCTGGTACTATAATATAGCAAATAATTGGGCCCAGGCTTGTCTTGTCCACTTCCGCTCCCAATTGCCCACTTGGAAGGTTCTCAAGGTTCTCAACTTCAAGATCTTTCATGGTCTTCAATTCCTAGCTTGTGCCGTGTTTTGATCAATGCCTGCCCATGAAGCAAGTCTGCGTTTGTCGATTTCCTCTCCCGTTTAAGCTTTCACTTGCCTGCGATATGTTTTTAATAAGTTTTTGTTTGCCATCTCTTCTCAAGCTATGCAGGCTGCTCCGTCATTTCTCTCCGCCCAGACAAGCATGTGGAACGCAAGTGGCTAGGGAGGCTTCTTCAAAATTATAGTTAAAGTGAAGATGCAGCCACTACCACAGCACCCAAGCAACGAGAAGCCCTCACGGCCAACAAGGGTGGGTGTGCCAACAACAGGAGTCAATTAGGTTCTATGTGATAAATGAAAAAGCAAGCTTGATGAATCATACCTCCAATTTGGGCGAGTCTCCATCCAAACAGGGCTCGCAAACTCCGTCGCGCCCAGCAGTGCCCTGCAAACACGTCAAGCACTCTGTGTGGTCCACCGAGGGCTCCGTGCTGTCCTTGACTCGAGGTGCCGGACATCCGCGAGGTCTGTAAGGGATAGGAATCTCGTTGAAGGTTTTCTGTTGGGAATAGACACCTGGTTGAAAGACCTGACACTCCCCCTTTACTGAGATCAACTAGGGCCGTAGGTCAGGTCATCTATGCATCACAGAACCCAGAATTGAAGTCAGAATCCGAAGGGACTCTGCTGGCTTTCTCCTTTCAGAATCTAGAATCTAGAAACCCAGTTTTCCATGCTCTTTATTCGTCAGCGGAATACTGGGTGTGAATCTCGAACAAGGCCTCCGCTCTCCGGTCCATGCGAGAAATGTTCTTTGGGAGATGCAACTGATGAACTATGGAGGACTGTGGGAACGACGCAGTGTCTGATATAGACATATCAATTTTGCAGAACATGTGATTTTGATGATGTTGATGATGATGCTCATTGTATTATATGTTTTGAGATACTGGAAATATCAATTGCGATGAATCATGGGGATAATGCTGATAACGACGATGAAAGTGAGGGTGGTGTGAACATGGGGAGGATGTAATCGTACGTAGGAGTCATCAGCAAAGTAGCTGCTGTAAGACCATCCAACCTTTTTGACGCACTCGCATTCTTCTCTCATCTGAGGAAGAATGGGCATGGTTGATTCACTGAATTGATGACCCAACCCGACGAACACATTACAAGGCAAGTGGAAATCCCACCTGTTTGGTCTTCGAATTTGATTTTCCATTCCATGGGCTCATGTTGCACTTCCATGTCGATGTGTTCGTCGGAACTGCAGATGATCCGTTCGTCGGCGCAACCTTCCGGTCTCTTTTGACCGCTCCCATTCCGGTCGTTCCGCGGTGTCGTTCCACGACTCCGGGCGTTGCCGCGGTGGCGTCGTTGACCACGGCCGTCGCCATCGGACTCTCCAGTCAGGACTCGGGGCATGGCACGCACAGCTCCGAGCCCAAGCGCGTGGCCGCGGCGTTGCCGTCGCAGGGCTCGCAGCCGGTGGCGCGCGGCGCCGGCTGCGCGAAGCCACGAGGGCATTGGCGACAGGTCACTTGGCCCGGCTCTGCTTGGAACTCACCCGGCAAGCAATCCTGGCTGCTGGAGCGTCTCTCACCAGAGTGCGGTGGACATGGCCGGTGCATGGTGGAACGGTGGTGGAACCGAACCACTTCTTCAGTGACCCTGGAGGATGCTGGTGAATTGTGAATTGGGGGTGCTGAAGGGTTCTCATCAACTTAGAGACTCAGGATTCCTCGATGAAGCTATCCCAAACAATTCCCGGTCAGTCCTGTGAATGTGTACAAAATAAAACTTATCGGGGATAAAATCACTTTAGGTGGGGGTGCACTTTGCACCCCTACACCATGAATTATAAGATCAAAACACATGACAATGATTTGGTATACAAACCCAAAGTACAAAAGGTAAAGTCACGTAATTGAAGGTTTATAACATGTCGTTTGGAGGTCGAGATACTTTTTGTCAATTTCAGATTAGCAAGAACTTGACAATTCTGGCCACGAAATCTCCATGATCAAAGCTGTTCCTGTGTCCAGGGATCTTCGGATGAAGATGGATGAAACACATCCACCGGACTGGACGGCATCTGTCCCAATTCTATCTCAGCCAGTTTCCGACCATGTACCCCACCACCGACACCAAGTACGAGCACTCAATTCCATACCAGGACCCACAAGGGGTGGTTAATGAACACCCCTTATAGTAAACCTCTATATAAGGGGCCATCAATGGAAGGGCCTTAAAAGGGCTTGGTATGGTTCATTCCATGCTTCTGTGATCGCCAAACAAAGAACAAAGAACTGACATTTGATGATGTTTGTCGTCAGGTGATTTTCCATGCACGGTCGGCTTCCCTTTGCGTGTGGTGGTTTTAACCACCCAAAGAACCTGCCACACCCACACTAAATCTAAAAGAGCCTAGATTTCTGCCAACAAACGCTTTTCCCGCTTTTTGGCTGCCTTGTATAGCTCCAGTATTTACCTCTTCAACTTTCCCGCATCAGCATCATTTGCTGACCTGCGCATGTTGGAACTACACTGATCGACAAACACAAAGAAAAACACGTCCTCTTCATTATCCTTTCTCTCCCGTCCCAGCACCAACCTCCCGTCCAGGTGGCTTGGCATGTGCTGCCATCGCCTGCTTGCCCTGCAAGGCAGGCCACGCATTGCGTCCCGGTGCTCTGGGTCCCGGGACCACAGACCTCATCACAGGCACCGCCCGTGCCGGCGGTGCCGGCGGCGCAGGGCTCACATTGGCTGAAGGAGCCTGGCGACGGTGAAGTGATCGGCTCCTGAAAGAATTGGCGGGTTGTTCGGCTGTTTTGCTTGCCTCTAGAGCACGGCTTGCTCATGATGCTTGCCCCAATGATCAGGAGCTGCTATAGCGTTTATAGCGTTTCGCGGCGTAGCGGCCTCTTGCGTAGCTCACAGGACAGTCGTTGGATCCTTTGAAATGGATTGATTGGACCGGGCGCCCAATTGAGCGAAGTCTCCTTGTCACCCCCATCCAATTGGGTGACCAAACAGGGATTGAACAAAATACAAAAAACATACAAGTTTTGTTTCAAGGACAGGTGAGTTTTTTGAGCTTCGTTTCGTTGAAGAAAGTCCGCAAGGTTTCGTTCTTATTGCGACGTCATGTTTCACTCGTCACTCTTAGAGATCCCACCCGCTGTACCCAATGGTTGGGAAGCGCGGGAAGCGCACGAGGATGTTCGATGCACAGGGTCGAGAAGGGCTTTTCGGTGGTTTGAGAGTAGATGGCACACCGCATACCCGAGTTTGGTGGTTTATATAATGAACCCCCCCATCTGTCTAAGACATCTAGGGGGTCGTCCCATCTACTTTCAAACCACTGTAATATCACATTTTGGCCTTGGCCCTGATTGGTTCCAACAATGTCGATCTGACAAGCCATGACCCAAAATGATCCCGTGGTTGCGCAGCACTTGGACACCCCCTGGTGCCTTACTTGTTTTGGAGACATGCTGTGAACATTTGGTCTGACCCCAAACCCAGTAAGATCTAGTAAGTGATACGATCCGAGATCCTTTTTGCGGCTCTTGCTCTTTAGTCATGTAGGAACTGGAGGTCTTCCGCGGGCCAACAGGTTTTCATTAACATGTTGGCGTGTTCTGGTTCAATGTAAGCATAGCCCAGCTTCTCCAAATGGCCATGCTTCACACCCGATGGTACCCAAGGCACTGGGAGCAGAGCCATCTTGACAAAGGGTAAGCTGTGGCCAAACTTCCATCTCTGTGCCTGGAGGAAAAGCAGCAACGGTGACTCTGTCAACTTGATCCAACCAACCATTCAGCCATCCAAAAGAACTAATTAATCAAATTGAAGGATGTCAGGATGCCTATCCTCTTTGCAAAGAAACTTCCGTACTTACAAAGGCTGAAACATATGTCATTTGCCTGATCCGGTGGAAGAATCCTAGCACCTTGATAGATCCAAAGACCAAGCAGTATAGCGCTTCAACGTCGCGTCGTCTAGTGCTGAATAAAGAAAATTGGACCGTGTTGTTTGGTGCAAGATGATCTTGTTTTCGACGAGTTTTCGAGTCGTCTTTTTCACCTTTTTCGGCACCAACTTGTTCCTTGGACGGTCTCAGGTGGTTGCAGGTTCTTGTTGCAGGGCTGAACCAAGGGAACGTATTATGCCTCATTCATCGGAGCGAAATAACACCTAGTGGGAAGCACGGGGCTCCATAGCGAAAAAAAAACGGCAATCATCTTGGCGGTATCAAATGCAATGGCTAGGTACATCCCATTTGAAATTCATATGGGTACTTGGGTAGCCCAATTTCATACTATAGATCGACGCCCCCCATGTGGGGGTCTCTATAGAATCATGCCCCCCAACTCATGCACACGCTATAGAATCAAAGCCCCTATGTCGTGAAGTGAAAGCTCACGGAAATTATATATGAAGTATTCAACACTAAAGAATCACAACCCCCCATCTCACAGACCGAATCCTTATAATAAGACTCTGATTCTATAGTATTTTCCGATGTGTTTTCGATGAATGTTTCCGACAACATCCGGCAACGTCTTTCCATTTTTATCGAATCATGATCACTATAGAATCGGCTTTCCATCTTTCAGGTTGTTCCGCTATAGAATCACGATCACTCAATGACCATCAACATGTCTGTCACTAAAAAATCAAAGTCCCCATGTCACCAGTACAAAGCTCACGGAAACAAAATATATCTCAGGGTTCTATCACTTTAGAATCACAACCCCCAGGTCAACTAGGTCAAATTGCACCCTTGTCGGAAATTTTCCGTGATATCCCGTGGTCTCCTTTTAGAATGGAGGAACCTATAGTGCTATAAAATGATTGCTGGGGAGTACCCAGGTGGCATGATTCCATATAGGAAATGTTTAAGGGGATCTAGGAATAGTCTTCCAAGATGTTTCATGTGAACTCGCTCTGTCTCGCAGCCTCAATGGACGGCCGGTGGGAATTGTTGCCATCTACGGGCCAAAGCGCACGGCACAGGGTACTGTGCTTCCAAGTGACCCTTCGATGAAAGCAGCTGCCCCCATTGCTCCATGTTCCTGGAACGGCATGGGACAAAGGGAGAATGGGCCCAAGAGTAATACGGAGCATGGTGAGGTGATCTCAAACGTCTCAAATGTCTTCATACCTAGATCTTCTAACTATACAACATGTCTACCCTTTCATCCATAAAATCAGCCAAGAGGCAGAGATGTTGCATACTTGAAGATCTACTTATCTAATTATGTGCATACTTGGATTCTGTCCGACTTTGGGATGCTCTGGGCTGGTCGCTCGGATGCGGTCGCTGGCTCGCTGCCAAGGCTCAAGAGCAAAGCGGGCGAAGACGTCGAGCGATCGATGAGCCTCAAGACCGACCCGCTGGCGATCTCGAAGAAGGCCACCTGAGAAGGCCGCTGTGATGTGGTGCGGAAGAAGAGAGACCGTCCAAAGCGGAAGAAGGAAATAGCGAAGAACAAAGGAACACGCCAAAAGCCTCCTTCACATTTTTGTGAGCCACCTCCTTCACATTCCTATGGAAATGTCACCGCGGCTGACCACAGTCATTCACGAGTTCTTGGTAGTTCAAATGTTCAAACCCCACCCACCCAAAAACAAAAACTATCAGCACCGAACAAACAAATCATGTCGCTGCCTGAAAGAGGCTGGCGGCCACGAGGGCCTCTAAGCTGCTGGAATAGGCCAAGGCGGTGACCTTGAAACCAAAGAGACCACATGTGGAGTTGTTGGGCCCGGCAAAAGCTGTTGGTCGGAATTTTTTTACATGGAAAAACGGGTGAAGGTCAGGATGGTCAAGAAGTGAGGGGATCTGAGGAAAAATGGGATTGTCCCAACATGCCTCTGTCTTCTTGCGGGTGAATCCGTGGATTGTCGGGGGCCCTGTGATTCTGAGGCAGTCTATATATATATATATCTTATGTTGAGGGCCTGTCTTTAATCGTGACCAGAATGAGAAAAATCGAACGTCCATCGTGTAGTTGCGGCCCATAAGCTGGGGCTGTTAATACCATGATGGTCGTGTTGACACACAAAACCATGGTCCTGAGGATGGACATGTTTGGTATATACCCTCCCTGAAACAATCATGGAAGTGGAAAACCACCGGCTTGTAGAGGAAAACAGTCTTCCAAGAGGCCATGTTCCACTTCCATGATTGTTTCAGGGAGGGTATATATATATACTTATATTTATTTGTTTATTTGATACCTTGATCGTCCTATGATGGTTGGTGTTGATACCATGAGATAAATTTGAAGTTTCAAGTATAGACACACCAAAACAGAAGGCACGGCATCGGCTGTGTCCCAGTCGGTCTACTGGTTGGCAAATCCAATACCAACCAGGATTTGGGGCAACGCAACAGTATCCATGCTTGGTGCGATATGATTCTGGCGCCGCGAGAATTCATTCGTTCAATTGAAGAACCTAAGCATGGGATGTGTTTCAACATGTCTTGCGTAATTGTGCAATTTGTCCTTCCACAAAAACATGTTGCCTTGCCTCCATCTGTTCCTCAACCAAGCGGCTCCATTGGCCAGGGCCTGCCCATTTCCAAAGTCCTGAACCATGGTGCCAGAGCTGGGGCTCCTGAGCCGAGCGTCGATCCGCGTTGGTCGGTCTGGATGATCCCGTGGAGGAGCAGTCCCGATGGATGCTTCGTGAAGGCCCCTGTGGAGCAAAAATCATTGAATAGATAGGATGTGTTGTGAGGGTTACGAGGTGAAAGCAGCTGCTAAGTTTGAGTGAGGGTCAAGTCTGAGTCTCGGGAAGATCTGTGGTGCGCAAGAGTGTTGCTTTGCTGGTTCGTGTAATGCTGGGGCTGCCTATTCTTCGCCCTTGTTGGAACTGTCTATGAGTCTATATCTGTCTTCTGCTCAATCAACATGCACAGTCCGTCCAGGTTGACGAACTGCCTTCTCCAAGGACCAACAAGACTTCCACGCCCATGTCGAACAAAGCTTTGAAAGATATTCAAGCGTATAAGCCACAAATCCACCCTGCTTCATCTGTCCGAGTCCCCACTCTTAGCAGTCCAAGAATCTGTCCGAACAACCCTGACAGCCAGGCTGAACCCTGCTTTGGAGAGAACCAAACACCCTTTTCCATTAACAGCGTTGATGACCCAAGAAAAAAAATCCTTTCGAAGAATACCAAACTTTAGGCCTGCTTCAGCCTGGACCAACTGGTTGGCTGCACATGCTCCGCATGGCTCCTGTATCTTAATAGAGAGACATCCAACCAATGAGTTTTGAGACACGCAACCAATGAGTCTTGGTCTATTTTCTTTGAAACCACAGCCACCTGCATTCTGCTATCAGCATCCAAAGCTCCAGGAGCGGATAGTCCCATCATCTCCACCAGAGGCCACTAGACCTCCTTGCTGGGGCAAAGGTTCCAATGCCCGAACGGCACCACCATGCGCCTGGACCTTAGTGCTTTCTTTGTTGCCTCCAACGAGTTCCAAACCGCAGGTCCTGGTCGTGAAAGTCTGCATGGTCGTTCACAAGCATCACATGAATTCTGCATGGTCGTTCTCTAGCTGTGATGATCATGACCGTTAGAGTTATGTGTCATGATGGTATTTCCAGTCTTCCACCGTCGCTGTTCAGTCGATGCGGCCGTTGGATACATCCCAATCACTTTGGTCTAATCTACATCTGTCACTTTGACTGGGCACCTTTTAACCGTGTGCTCTATGTGCTCTATATATGTGACATTATATGTGACATTATACAATACTTTTTTGATTATGTATATATATATATGTATAGGATTGTTTTTGTTATAGTTTGTTCTTAGATTCACAGTACCTTCACAGTGGATAGTACAAATTCAAAGAGATGGTGAGGTGATTCACCCCGTCTTGATCCCCTTCCCCTGACACGAGATTCGCTGACTTCGATGAAAGAAGGGTTTATTGATCACGCACCCTTTGTAGACATGGGAGATTGAATCCAACCCCCTGAAGAATCAAGACCTGAAGCTCCATATCCATCCATATCCGAGAGACAGGTTTCTAACATTGGGAACTCCCGACTGGCGAAATAAGGGATTCATATTCTGATTTCCTTGTGGATTGATCAAGCTCTTCACTTGCTCCGTTTCCTATACCCTCCGAATCTAAACCTGGATACTGCCAGAGAGGCGATTGGGAAATATGTTACACACCAGAAAATTTGTCAGATTTGGAGTTAAGGTTGGCTTCCTTTTCCTTTTGTGTTTCTAATAGCGATGGCCTCCAACCTACTTGTGATGGCCTCCAAACTACTTGCCATGGCCTCCAACCTAATTGCGATTGCCTCCAACCTAACAGCAAACCATATGAATCATATTAGGCCTTGTTTTTTGGATCTTTTCGCGTGGTCTCTGTCTCTCTCTCTCTCTCTCTCATCTCTCTCTCTCTCTCAGCTTCAATTTCCTGTCGCACGATGTCTTTCCGGTTTCTTTCCGGATCGCTGTTGCTGCTCGGCAGCCATATGCTTCAAGGGTGGCTCCAGGCGATACATGGTGTAGGAGGCAGCTTGTAAGGTCTCACAGGTGCCTACGTTTTGCAACCTCAGAAAGAAGAAAGACAAGGATCTCCAAACAAACCAAGCGTACCCGAATTCAAATTCCGATGTCGGAACGACCGATGGGTCCAGGTGTTGAGTAAACATGATTGTCAGGAGGAAGTAGCCAAAACACCTTGACCTTCGAAACAACCCCTTGCCCACGCAGCTCTTGCCACAAAGCCATGATCACCCCGAAGAAGACATGTTGGGCAAAAGAACCTAAAAGTAGCTTCAAAGCTGGAAAACAACTCATACCTGGATCTTCGTAGCGGCATAAACGATCGCCTTTTCAGGAAACATGCCGTTAATATATCATTTTCCAGTCCCAAAGACAGCGTATTTTTGTTGTGACCGGGCAGAAACCAGCAAATCTTATGGTAGCTAAGCTAGTAGAGAGTAGCGAGGAGACAAACCAAAAAGCAAAGGTGTTTGTTGGTGAACGATGTCTTTAGGCGTCCCAACAGAGTCTTTCACCATACATGGTGTTGAGCAAATATGTTTGCACTGTTTCAAACGGCACCTGTATGGCGGCACGTGTATGTAGGTCATTGCGGTGTCGTTTCACTGAACTGGCTGTGGCAAAGATTTGCCGCTGGAAGATCAAGGTATCTAAGAAGCTACCAGTAACAAAGGGCATCACTACTAAAAGCAAGGACGCTACTAGTAGCTCCTGGCACCGCTACTAGTAAAAAGAAGCTGCTAGGAACAAGGGCATCGCTACTAGTAACAAAGGGCATTACTACATATATTTCTACTAGGAGCAAATAGCTACTACAAGTAGTAACAAGAAGCTTTCACAAAAAGAAACTCGATAGTTCACCTGCACCATGAGGCCTCTCGACGGTCGAAATCGACCGGTCTTTCACGGGTTTGGTCCAGCATCCAGGTCACATCTGGCATTCATTGGCTGAGCTACTTGAGACCTCGGGCGGAAAGCAGCAGCAACAACAACAACTACTACTACTACTACCACTACTACTACTACTACTACTACTACTACTACTACTACTACTAGTACCACTGAGAAGGAACCCGAGGGTCTGATTGAACCGAATTGGGATTCTCGAACAGAATTCGGATTCTTCGAGCAGAATCACGACGGTTGGTGTTCAATCTTTCTGGAAAAAGAAAAGGTCCACCCAGGGTTCACCAAAACCGATATTATAGGTATATCCCATTACCAGGGCCCAGTGGATGATGGGCCCTGCTTCCAGGCCTTTATCGATGTTTGTTATCTTTTACTGACGGTTTTACTGGTTCACTGCGATACACCCCGAACCGGTGCAGCTTGGACCACGCCATGTTCAGCGTTCAGCCCGGTGCTGTTTCGGTGGCGCAGGGGGGGTACCGGTCGGGACGGTCGGCAGTTGCCAACGTTCCAAGGAACAGGCTTTGAGCATGATTGAAACTTGAATCACCCTAAACTAAGATCAAAAGGACAAGTCATTAATACCCAACAACAACAAACAGTTATATAACACATCCCCAAAACCATGAAACATCATGAAACACTATATAGCTGGATAACATGGACACGTTCCAGCCAAATCACCACACCACACCGTGGCCTTGCCTTCACATCACCATACCTCACCCACGCGATTTCCGTCCCACGCGATTTCCCGTCGCTGTCGCGTTCGCGTTCGCGTCGCCTGGCCATAGATGAAGTAGTCGCCCCCCGCAGGGTTCGCCGCTTGCAGCACCGCCTTGATGCAATCCTGCGCGTTCCGACGCGTTCGGTGCGTTCGCCGTTCCGCGGGGGCGGTCAACGCCGTTTTCAGGAGATGATCTAATAGGGGCGGTACATCTGGCGGGACGTGTTTCCCGTTTCCTTTGTGTTTGTGAACTTCATGGACACACACATGGGTGCATGCTGCATTTGTATTAGTATAGGGCACTTGCTCCGTAATTAGAGAGCTTCTGTAAGATCTTTGCTTCAATAGCGAGACACTTCGTCTCTCCAAACCAGTTTCTTTGGGAAGCAGCTGTGATGGGAGTCATCCGTCGTCATCCGTTAGGTGTGCATTCATTCCAACGGACCAACGGAGCAGTCGACTTTCGACTCACGGAGCAGTCGGACCGCCCGTCGGATCGGATTCGGCCGGAAACGCCATGTACGTTTGAAAGAAACCTCCCCCTTTGGCTGATCCAACTACTCGGTTCCAGACATCACCTCTGTTTTGATATACAAGAAAATACCATAATTTGAATAGTTCATCCTCCAAAACAGGGGTCACTCAGGTTCTAGGATGTTCTAGGGAGTTTCTTTTTTTGCCGACCCACTCTGCAGAGGTCAACTGAAGCCGTCGGAAGCGAAGCCCAAGACAAAGAACTAGAACCCTGACTGAAACACTCATCTGGCAGGATGATCCTCCAGCAAATAGGCGGTGCTCAGGGGCGACAATGTGCTACCAGCGCATATCTGACCATCCACCTGTCAAAAGTCATGCATGACCCTGGAAAAAGCAACTGGTGAGTCATCTGGGTATGAATTGAGAATTGACACACAAAAAGTCAGGACATGTCAGGACAGTTCTTTGCATCACAGTCACAGTCAATTCATGTGCTCGAGCAAAAAAACGTTAATTTCACACCTGTCATGACAGGTGCAAGAATGGCTGTCCTCCAAGGTATACTGGTGATATAGCAAGACGTGAAGTCGGTTTTGGGGAAGATAAACCACTATATAAGACTAAGAGGATTGATCGACATTGATCGACCATGTTTCATGTCCTCTCGCTTCTGGTGAAGGGTCTAAGTTCATATGTCAAACAGGCTTCGAATGTGTAAACATGACAATCCAGCGGGTTCGGGGCATCAAGCCCATCGAGACATGATATGTAAGAATCGCGCAAGAATCGCCGTGTGTTTGGAACTCGACCTGGAAGCGGGCGACGGGTAGCGACCAAATGCCCAGGAAGCCATCCAATGAGCCGCTGGCCAGCATCTGCAAGGAATCCTGGGCGGCCAACATCGAATCGAAACGCACCACGCACCCAGTTTCGATTTCGACCCGAAAAGGAAGCCTCCCATCGACTCCTTTTGGACTCCTTAAGAGGACTCCGATGTGAGAAGACTTGCCTATGCGCCGCTACTAGGGGCCAGGCTCAGAAGCCTAGGTCCAGACCCGAGATCCCCCAACATCGAGTCGAGAGCACCCCGAACTCCTCAATAGTCAAAACATCGCTGAGTTTCAAGCATGCCAAAGTTCCTTTCGCCATGCTTCTTCTACCGATCGGTTCTGCAAACCAATGAGTCTTGAATGTTCTGCTGGTGGAAGAATCCTATCCGCAACTAAAGAGCCCATTCCAGCCTTTTCACCCTTGACATTTGTCGTCCCATCCCTGTCCAATTCCTCCAAAGAACACAATCTGCAGAACCTATGCAATATCTCGGGCCCTGGAACAGTGGAGGATGGCTAACAAAGGCTCAGAAGTAGGTTCTCAACAGAAGTGGGGCACATCTCCATCCAAAGCCAGTCCAGGCACTAAGGGCGTCAATGAGAGGACGATGTTGCTGTGCCCAGGAAGCTCCCTCGCAAGCGTGAGGGCGATATGCTTCTTCCCGGGAAGCACCCTATGAGGGAAAAAAAAACATCGGCATCTACCAAAGTGTTGATGCAGGAAATTCCTGCACCACATAGATCAAAACCACCAAACACATCAAACCAAAACTCTGCGCGTGTGAGATTTGCTCTATATGTATATCAAGACTCTAGGACCTAGGACCTTCGATCTTCCCCCCACTCTCCCGAATATTACTCGCAAAATCACTTCTGCAGTCTGCAGTCATTCATCCAGAACCCATGTTCCATTCGTTGCATTCTTTCCATGAGTCCAAAACCATCTGAAGACCGAACCAGATCATGCGCAGTACGGCTTAGTCACCCAGGCTTCATGGACTGCAAGCAACAGGAGCCTGTGGGGAACTGGCACCAGACCGACAGGCCACGAAAGGGCACGACCGGGCACGTCGGTCGTTCACATGCGTGCGGCACGTGTCGGACTGGTCCGGGTGAACGATCGTGGGTCGCGACCGAAGCCATTGGAAATGGGACGAATCGTTGCCACCCTGGAGCTCCCAACTCAACCGTTCGAAGCTGAATTCACCCCAAAGAAACGCTGAGACAGACACCTTTTCCAAAAAATCCAAGGGTTGTGTTCAGGAGGTCCTTGGAGCGAAAGAAAAAAGACACTCCCTGTTTGACTATTATCTATGAGCTCCTTTTTCCCGTTCCCAGGTTACCAGGCCTTGTTCTGGTCTTCGAGCTCATACTCCAAAGGTAAATACTGGAGGAGAAGTAGCTGCAGGAGGCGATTTCACTGTAGCTCGTCACGTCGTCGCTGTAGGAGACATAAACAATGGCATTCACTTGACTTCCACCTCAGCACCCTTTAGTTTTACGAATGTGCACAAAAAGAAGCAACGAAATTCTCTGTGGAGAAACATCATATATCAAAAGGTTAGGGCTCTAATGAAAAATCAACAGACATGGTTGCGATGCATCGCAAACAAGCGAAACAAACAACCTTCACCAGCTGTTGATTTATATAAACATCTTCATAGACTTGACAAACAAGCCACATTTGGTGGGCCAGCAGCAACACACACTTCTGATGCTGGTATGAAAAGTGTGCCACACCTAGCACCATGAATGATCCATCTATTATCTATGCTTGACTTGATGACTCCCACAAAGAAATCACTTCTCTGGGGACATCTTCCCTTTTCACCCCATGACGACGTACGAAACGTCTCTAGCCACTCGCCCAGTTTTTCGGCCATGTCGCCGGTGTTCTCGTCCACCGTGGCGATGGACTGGAGATTGGAACTTTGTAGGAAGACCATCCGCCCATCCACTCCGCCGGCAATGACCTTGGACGACGTCTGGAAGGAGAGGAGTCGAGTGGAGATCGGAGTTGGGGACGGAGTTGGGGACGGGCTCGAATTGCCAGGCCCTACAGGTTAGTTGGACATCATTGTACCGTACCAAATTGATCTAAAATGGGTCATGTAAAAACATGTAAAAACACGGGCTGCAAGGAGGTTTTCAGGACCGGGTTTTACTGGGTCAGACTGGACTTGCTGGGAGAGTCTAGCAAGTCCAAGCTTCATGAAGATTCGTTGCTGGACGTGGCGTTGGCAACTGGGGGCCTTTGTGCTGGACTCCCCCAATTGCAACATGGAGGAGAACTTACACCCGGAAAGGAAAATCCAGGAAAAAAATCATGCACCCACCATGTTCACCCGACTAGTCCGTCAGCTTCACGACCCACCTCCCAGGTAGGTCCCCGCCGGCGACCCTGCGACGTGACGACCATGGCCTCGTTGAGTGTGAGCTGGTAGGTCAGTGCGGTGACACGGCTCCCCACGCTGCCGCCCTGCACCAAGCTCAGGTCCTTGCAGAAAACGGCTCTTCTCGTGAGGCACCCCCGACCGACCTCGGACCTGGTATAGACTGGAAGTCAAACACTCCAAAAGTTATGACTCAATGTGGTGCCTGGTGGTGCCTGGTCGTTCAGTAGTTTGGGACAAGAAACATGATTTGTGGTTGAAAGGTTCTGACAGTTCTGTTCATCTTCAAAAGTCCAAGATTGGAGTCTGTTTCTTTTCAGACTCAAATTGGGGGGTCCAGGGGTTTCTAATATCTTTTGGCACACTTCCAAATGAACATTATGGTTTCCTTGGACTTTCTGGCACCACCATCTGGGGAATTACACTCCTGAAACAATCATGGAAGTGAATGGGATCGGACATATGACGAATCGAAACTGATGGGCTCGGACATAAGCTCATCAGGTGATGGGCTCATAAGTTCAGTACTCAGGTTTTCTGTGAAACCGTTCAAATCTATCCTGGCCGTACACAAACAGTTCATCTAACTGAAGAAGCACTTCCAGGCATATGATTGCAAATTAGGGCTGAAGAATCTGAGTTTTTTTGCACCGTTTCATGAATGTTTCGACCAAAAATCATTCATTGACCTCGATGAAGCCAGGAGAATCATGGATGTTCTCAGCACGAATTAGGGGTGGCGGGCAGCCAGCCCCATAGGTCTGGTTTCGAAATCCATTACAAGCAATCCATTTAGATCCTGGTTTCAGGTTTGGTCTCAAGTCGGCATTTCAAGCAGGATGAAGCAGCCTGGTGCTGGTGCCCAATCGATGGAAGGTGCAATTTCTGAGCCAACCTTGGTGCTTCACTTTTCTCCAAAGGTCGCCTTCTGTCACTAATGGTGGTCAACCGTGGTCAGTCTTGAAGCTGTGTCAACTTCTGCTTTCCAAATGTGTTCACCGCTGCCAGTGATCACTAAAATATCACACCATCAATTCCATCTCTTCCACCCAGCCTCCGCCCCTCCATGACCACCCAGCATTTTCACTTCTTGCCAAAGGTCTTGGCCGCGATACGCTTGCACGGCACCCAAATCGCCGCCCACCAGCAACAAATCCTGGAGGGGAGACGGAGAAACAACAAACGACCTGAATAAGCAAAAGGCATGCCCAACAAACGGGACCTCGCCGAGTCACCGAGTCGCCGAGTTGCCTTCATGGTCGCAGCCGGGTTTTGGCCGATCTTTTGGAACTGAGAAGCTGACCACATCTTCCGGTCGACCACATCCTCCCGTCACACCGACATCACCTGAAAAATCCTGAAATACCCTGCACCCCCTTCACCTGGAAAACCTTGAGGTTTGACACCATCCCGGTTCCTACAAACTCCGGTCCGACACCAACTTGCGAGAGAATCCGCGGCCCAATGCCCATTTCAAATCAAAGACTCGAGTAGGGTTTAATCCTGCAGTCTCCTGGTCCTGTACAGTACATCCAAGATCATCTAAGTACAATGGGGTCCATCATCTATAGAGTTCTACAGATTTCTACACATCCACAGAAGGATTTTTATCGAATTCTGTGCAGATCTCTATAGATCATCCCCAGAATTGATCTGTTACAGAGGGAAAATTCAGACTTCACCTCATGGATCCCGTGTCCTTGCCGGAGGCCTTCGGTGCGCGGCCACCACCGAACCGGGTCCCCCCCCCAACGGTCCCAGGCGTCGGCGTAGCGCAGCGCCGTGACGGGACCCACGGAGGCCGCCAGGGACCGGGACGCAGGGCCGCCCACCACGTGGCCCGGAGGGATCAGCGCACCGTCGAGCTGGGGGAGCAGGATCACCTGGAGTGGTGGATCTGGGACTTTTTGGGGCACGGGCTGCTTGTGCAGGGCTGCTGCACATCCAAAAGAAGAAGTTGTTGCGTGCGGTGATGTGTATTTTTCCAATATGGAAACATGATGTGACTGACATGGGTGAAGAAAAAGGGAAAAGAACAGCTGGGTATTTGCCCCTACGAATTGGTCGCACAGTATTTTTGGGTGGAAAAGACTATTGCATGGGAAAAATGCTGGAACAAACAAACAATGTGCGCATCTTTCTGGGCTGACTCGATCTAGCTATATTTTTGTTCAATCAACCTGAAGCTGAGGTGGATTTCTCATCCTGGTGCTTCCCGTAGATTCCAAAGAGAGGCTAGCAATCCCAATGTTATTTGCCAAAATTCCTCCCGAACTGACATGCTGGCGACATGCTCAAGTCGCCAGACCTCCTGCTCTGCTACAAAGTGGATCCACAAAAAGCGGATTGACATGGATTGGCGAAGAAAAAGTTCGACACTCCAGTTCAAAAGGAGCCTGGGGTCCAGATGTAGCACCAAATGTAACACACCAAATGTATCACCTTCGGTGGACGAAACCCAAACAATCCAATACGAGCACATCTCCTGGCATTTAGCACAGAACCAATCAAGGCCCAGACCCAGACCGTGCAGAGCCATTCGAGCGATCGAAGTGCCATCACAGCCATCAGGCCAAGCCATGTTGCAAACGGCCCTGTTGAATCAAACGATGACAGGTGAGTAATGGGCCAACCTGGGGTCGAAGCTGCTTATGGCATGGACCTATTGGTTGTGCACTTGAGGGAATGCCCGCTATAAATCCACCGTCAAGCAATAATAGTGTTCAAGGCCAACAATGGCACTGGGTACGCCATCTGATCTTGGCGACACAACATGCGATGGGTGGAGTTTCCTGCAAACTGGTCTCATTGTAGACTTCTGTGGTTGATCCTCTTGAACAACCAGTACATCGATTGGTTCTTCTTCGAAGCTCACGTGCTACGTCTAACAGACGACTCTTGCTTGGCATTGTGTGGACAAGATGTAACATGCACCTGGACATATCTTAATTGTACAGCAAGAATCACAATGGCTGTTTTTTAGGTGCTCATGAGGTTTGCTAAATATATGAACTGAGCCAAAGGAATAGTAGGGCTCCGGCTTGGTACGAATCCCTATCTACTGCCATGCTCTGAGGTATCCCAGGGTCGGGTCCAGTCGTACCGAACCTGAGTCCCATCATCACAGGTCCACCCAGATACGACGCCAAGTCCGTTTGAAGAACAGTGGTCCGTTTTCCGAGACGTTTCGCCAGTGGCCTAGAATGATATCATAACTATACCAACAACCAGGAAATATACAGGTGAGATTAGGTGAGAGATGTTCATGGACCTCGATTCATGGAATGTGATTGTCTTTTGGTTCGTTCTCTGAGTTTCTATTGAAACCCTATTCAACATGATACGATCCAACAATGACTGTGTTGCCTCTTAGAGGATCAGCCAGACCGCTGCGACAATGGGACATGCGGCAACCCTCCGACTCTGTTGCTTCCAATCTGTGCGGGTTGTTGCATAGAAATACGAAATACCCAAAGTCGCAAAAAGAAAAAACAATGTCAAAACAACCAACAAAATCCAACAAACATGTTCCCTTCCAAACCAAGAAGCGGACCATCCACCCGGAGCCATTTTTTCTCTGGACAGCTTCGGCTAGTCCTTCTGACCGGTGAGACGAGAGACCTCAATCCAAGCGCTTCTCGTATCGGATGAGCTCCTCACGCGCTGTGACAGCCACCGAAGGGATGTCCGAAACCCGTTCCACAGATATATAATATATATATACCTATATTTTAATATATTGTATATATATATATATGCGTGAGTGTATTCCCTAGGATTGGAGCAACCATTTATAACTATATAGCCTTCACCTTTACCGAACAACCATTGTTTTAGGGGTTTTACACTATACAACACAAGGTCAACTATGTTAAAAATGGTCTTGGGCTCCCACTAAAAAGGGAGACCTCCCAGTTTGACCCCCTGGAAGGTTCAGGAAGTAGACCAGTCTACCCAGCCAGGGCAGGGGGGTTGAACTGGGAGTTCTCCCTAATAATTAGCTCATATATACACAACATATCTCTGACTCCGGATGCTGGAGATCGATTCCCTCAATCAAAGGTTCCAAACGAACTCCACCTGTTCTTATGATTTATGTAGTGTGTCCCGTGTCCCCGACCCATGTACTCCGTGGCTAGGCCAAAGGACGTCCGGCGGCCAGAGGGGCCCCTGTGGCCCTTCTCGAGTGTCTGGGCTTATTGAATGATGCGAATCAAGCGGAACACCTACGAATCTGGCATGATCGACCCACACCAAAAGGAAGAGCGATCGCTTTGATTTGCTAGCGATGTCCCCCAACTGTCTCGAAGAGCGCGGAGTGCCAGCGATCCCTACGCAGATTCCTCTCGTCCGAGTCTGGCTTGTTAGGCATGAATGAGGATCTGGAACCCTACACAAAAAAACATACGCACAAATAATGTATATACAGTAATTGATAGCACCGCAACCCCCTTCAAACCGAAACGTAATAACAATTTATTGCCCACTGACAATGATCCAAAATATATTGAGAGCAGACCGATGGCACCTTGTTGATGTCATCTTTCCGCTTCATAATGTACTCGAAGTCTTCTTTGCTCAAGGTCATCCATGACCTTGGTTTCAGACTGCGGAAGTTGGAGTTTCCATCTATAGTCTATGCAACCAACATCCGCAGGTGCTCGAGATGTCTTGTGGTGCACCAAGAATCTGGTGCACCGGCTCCAACAGTTGAGAGATCGACAGGTGACGGGAGGTTCGTCCCATCCGAGTTGAGAAATGAAGTTCTTCCATCAACCATGTGTTTGAACTGATTGAAGTTTAAAACATCTTAAAACTCTATAAGACATTGTTTTATATAGAGGAAACAAAGATCCAAGCCAACGAACCTTTCACCCTTTTTGTCTGAGCATTGAACAACTTACCACCAATATCCACGAATGGGCGAATCCACCAATATAGCGAATTCATTGGACGGTCTGCTGACTGACATCCTCGCTGGACTCATACCAGTATCATCCATTATCCACCCATGTTCTCTCATGTCCCTTCCGTTCTGAAAGTTCTCCAGCTGTTATGTTTTATTTTTTTTTTTGTTTTTAAAGAAACGTATACATGAAAACACATCCAGCACCACCCAGTGAGCTCTGGTGGCTGATAGACCCTCACCCTGAGTTTTCCAGGTCACCATCCAACCTCTATACTTGACTCGCAAAAAACACTCGTTGCGCGAAACGACACCAAGATCCACGTGTTCCACGCAGAGCGGCTTCCCAGAGGAGTCCAAGATGGTGAGTTTGGGCACTCGTTGTCTGCCATCCTGGCAGCACCGGTGAAGTGTGTGGTTTTCCTTCCCTTTTCGGGCGCCACGCCGTGGGTCTGTCGCGTTTCAACATGAAATACACAAACACATTTTGGGAGCCACTCCGTCAGTTTTTGTTGATGTGGTTTTGGAAGAGGAGTTCTTTCTATTCTCCCAAAACGGTTTTGAGCCTTGAGGGTCTGGACTCGCTATGCCACCCGTGCCATGGAGGGTCCAAGGATTCTTAGTTTTTCTTTTTGTTTTTCTGAAATCCGTCTGCTTCTTTCGTAGCTGATCCTTCACTGAGGCAATCTCTCATGTTGCCCAGCCACCCTGGAACGCAAGTTGGAGACGTAGACTTCCCGGCCTCAGCACGGTCATCCAGCGCCGGTACAGTGTGGTCGTCTCATCATCTACTAGTAGGACTCCACCAAAGACGCAGTAAAAAAATCAGTGCTCGCTACGGCCATTTCCTGCTGGGGTCTTTTACATGGGGCTAATCCTCATCCAATTTTCTATGGCCCAAGAAAGAAACCCAAATGGGCCGTGTCTAAGACTAGCAGTTGAAAACCACCGATTGGCTCACGGACTCATGGGGTTTCTCAGCTCACGCCCAGTTTGGTATGGCATACCCAGTTTTGATGGCATCGAAACGACTTGAGAAACTCCAGGTGTACTGGCTGAAGGCGCGGCCAGACTTTGTGACATGATCTGTGACCCTACACTAAGTCTGTCATCTTCACGAAAATCATCGTCGAAAACCTCCTGAATTAAATCGTCTTCATGATGAAGTCGTGACACCCGGTCTTCAAGTGGACAAAAAACGAGCATTTGGTTCACCAAACATCACCAAACGCCCCCCCAAAAACGGTTTTGCAGGTCATCCACGTACTTCCTGGATCTAGTGGGGTCCGCTCAGGCGCCCTCTTTCTGCTCCGAGATGCCAATTGGAGGGCCCAAGGGCAGTGCTTGGCCTTTTTGCTCTTTGTAGAACTGGCGGATGAGGGAGGACGCGACAGCCGGCCGCGGATGAAACGATCTGAACAACTGAATTTTATTCTTTGGGTCGACCAGGAAAGCCCAGACCAATTGGAAAAAACATGATTTTTCGTCCCCAAGACTGAGAGGTATGTTAAGAGTTCGCTGTTAGGCAGGTTGGGGGTCATGTTTCTTATATAGTATAAATATCCTGTCGTACCTAATATGTTTGTGTACCCTCGAGAATGAAAAGACCAAATAGATTGGATATCACTGCCTTCCCGGGCTCTCCATGACATCAGGTTCTTTCACCTTCCTACCCTGCAGAGACCAGACCGATCCGCTCCCAAAACCACGCGTTCCGAGAACCCTGCACAGTTGCGGCAGCTGCACGGGTGATCTACCATAGAGGTTATACCATGTTATACCTACAGTGTATATGTATAGTCTAGATAGCAAAAAATCCAAATAGCTACGCTCATGAAACGCAAAACTGTATACCTGGCTCCAGCTTCCTGCAACAATCGCACAACTTCCAAGGGGCCTTTTTCGGCTGCAATGCACAAAGCCATTGTTCCATTTGCATTTTCAGATATGGGATATTTGCAGCATCCCTGTCAGCCCCAGCCTCCAGCAACAATTTCACAATTTTGAAGTGGCCGTGTTGGGCAGTAATGTGCAAAGCCGTTGCCCCATTTGTCTTTGCACTGCATCTTTGTCAACTCCAGCCTCCAGCACCAATCGTTCAATTTCCAAGTGGCCTTCAGCTGAAAGGAATTGCTTCAGTTCGCGCACAGATGACCCAGCTTCCACCATGCAACGCAATTAATCATCCTCAAGTCAAGAAACTGTTGCTCCAAACGACCCTGCTGCTATGATCTCCATAGACTTAAACTGACAAACTGGCTCACACAGGTCGTTCTTGTTCGGCGTCAGAAACCAAGGATCCTTCTGACATGTGAAACAAGACATGGCGACTCGAAAACCTGGGCCGCTCAGTCTCATGACCTTCGACTAGACACAGCGCTTCCGCTCTTTGAGGAAAAGGGAGGGAGAGACATCTCGTGGGGACAGAAACTTGTTTTGTCTGGAAATTCTTGTAGACTTACAGTACTTGCCGCATACAGGTGTCCAACTGCTAGCACAATCACAGCCAATATACTATGCCATACTATGCCAGTCAAGGTACAAATTTCACACACATTCATTTGAATAAATAACCTGAATAACCTGAATTGAATCCCGCACTCCCTTCTTCCATGTTGAGCCTGAGACATCCCAATTGATCCAATTTGCACAAAAATACACGCATATTCTTTTGGAGCACTTGTTACTACTAGCTTCTTGTTACTACTAGTAAGGCACTTGTTACTACTAGCGATGCCCTTGTTACTAGTAGCACTTGTTACTACCTTCCCGAAGCTTCCGCATTTCCGCTTCGCCCTCCGCGCCCGTGGACCCGGCCTCGCGCGTGCCATCGAGCGCCCGATCGCGCAGCTCCAAGTCCTTCTCGCTGCAGCCGAAGAAGCTCCTGGCAGGACGGCAAGAGGTCGGTGGGGAGGTCGGTCCGAAAAGGCCGGAGATGCGAAACCTCACACTTTGAGTTGGATGGTACCCCAACATTCTGGCTAATCCCAGGCGAGTATTTCCAGCATGTCGAGATCATTCCAGTACAACAAGTAGTATAGGATTGTCATCGGTCTTGAACGGCCTAGCAACAACAAGTAGGGAGCTCCATGTTTCTTCCATGATGTTATACTGCGTGGGCAGCCCTCAACAACTAAGACAGTAAAATATTGTTCAGTTTTGTTTGTCGACTTATAAATAGTATATTATGAATTCTTATGATTGATTCATCTTTGCCGTTACAATATAATCATTCTGGGTTTCGACCAGGCAAATTCCAATCGTTATCTGCTTGGAATGGTGGTTGAATTTCGAGGTTCAGCCGCTCTGAGACCTATAAAAGCCTATAACTCTGGCTGTGGAGACTCTGTGTCTAACTTCTTGAAGGCGTGACTTCAATCAGCCACTTCGAACAACTCAAACATACAGCTTTCAGCGGTTGCACAGTGAAGTCACAACTGCCAAGTTATATACATGTCATGTGGTTTCTAGACATGTTAACTACTGATCCTCCATCCAAACATGCTTCTGCATGCTTAGCTTTCATCATTCATCTATGGCGAGCATCACAACCATCGCCGGCCAGTCGTGCTTCTGTCACACCCATCGCGAGCCGCGCCCGGCACGTGCCCGTCCACCCGTTCGGACGTGTGTCGCATCCTGCCCGTCTCCGTGTCGGAGCTGAATGGACGAACCTTGGGGAAGACACAGCGGGCATGGTGTCAACGAAGCGAAGACACAGCGGGTCCGTTCGGTGTACTAGTAAAGTTATAAGTAAAAGTTGTTTGGCGATTTGAAAGACATGGTAAGCATGTTCTTTGACCTTTGAGAATATCAGCGGTTTTTTAGGTCCTATCACAGCCTGCTAACATCATCGTTGATCAAATCATGGCTGAATGCTACGATCCAAATTCGTTAGGCCAAATGACCATGATATCAACATGTATCAACATGATTCAGAATTCAACATGCATCAACCAGGATATCACACTTCCCACCTCTGGGTGTTTTCTGCCAGGATCGCTCCTGCATCTCGCCCACCCCATCTCCACACCGAGAGGCCGCCGCACTGAGACGGACCGCACACAGCGACGGACCGCGGAACTTGCGCGGTCCGTGGCAGAGCAAACACCTTCTGCACACTGTGGAGGCCGCCATGGTGGCGTCAGCCACTAGCGGCAAACGCCAAAACACCCCTTTCCAAAAGATCTTGGCGAATGGTCTGATGTTTTTTTTCTGCAAGTTCAAGTTCAGGAAGAAATAGGGAGGCACATACGCTGGTGTCTCAGAATGTGCCTTATATAGATTTGTGGAGTCTGCAGCACTTCTACGGTTCTACGCCAGAATCTTTGTAAAGAGAATGCTCCAGGAGTTGCAAAAGTGCCTGAATGCAATTTCTTGTTGGAGGTCTATGAGTTGTTTCTGGGATACGAGCATAAAGGGTTTAAGGGTTGGGAATGCTGTGGAAATGGTTTTCTCGACACGATCTCTGACATGCAGATCACTCTGAGAGCCGACATGGTGTCATCAAATCCATGTAGGATGCCTCAATTGCATGCCTGGCCCTTTACGATTGCAGCCTGTGTTTGTTTAAACTTGAGGCCAAGGGGGGGGGGGCGAAAGCTAGCGCTCCAGAATGGGAAAGTGGAGGGCAGCGAGGTAGGAAAAAAACACGGCGCTCTTTTTGGAGGCAGGGGTGAAGAGTCCTTTATATGTGGCTCTTTGCCCGGATCCTCCTGCGAGAGAAGAGAGAGAAGAGAGACGGAAAGACGAGAGACAGAGAGGAGAGAGAGAGAGAAGAGAGAGAGAGATGAGAGAGATGAGAAAGAGATGAGAGAGATGAGAGAGATGAGAGAGATGAGAGAGATGAGAGAGAGAGAGAGACAGTGAGACAGTGAGACAGCTTGAACTTCAGCTCCAGGAAGATGACAAGTGGTACCAGGAGGTGTATGAGGCAGCAGCGCATCGAGTTGGAACCCTCCTCACTGATCCGGAGCACTACATGAATGGGCATGTGGAGCCAGTGGTTGCACCCTACAAGGTACAGCCAGAGAGACCGCGGGGGCGCTTGGATGTGCTCCGCAGGATGAGTCAAAAAGACAATGGCCCTGGTGAGCACCAATGGCAGTTGAAGGGCCAAGGACTGCTGTGCCTGTTGTGCGGCCTTCACATCAAGAGCTGCTCAACGCATGCTGAGATTGAGGCCAAGGCAGCCACGGTGTGCCCCGGCGAGAAGGTCAAGACTTTGACAAATATCATGGAGGACATGCTCAATGCTTCGTCCCTGCAACAGGATCACCAGCCAGGGCACCGTTGGTATCTGCGAGCCAGCTCCTTTGGATGCAGCCGATGTTGGATCAAGGTTGCTCGCAGATGTGGTAAGGAGACTCTCCACAGGCTGGCAAATGAACCCTGCCAATATGCCGCAGTGACAGAGCAGGACCTCAATCTGCGCATGAGAGTCCACCCCCAGCACCAGCTGATGCAGAGGGGTCAGTGGCTTGAATGTCAGAAGTGCTTCAAAGTCTCCAAGATGACAGGAGGCAAAGTGCAACCGTGGATGGCACAAGAATGCCCTGGAAGGGCGAAGCAGACAAAGCTGGCCTTTGCACCCAGCTCTAAGCCTCCCCGATACAAGGAGAACGAGCCTTGTCGGGACCCGCTTTTCCCTTGACGGTGCGGGAGTCGACTGCAGCAGAGAGAAAGAACCGAGCAAAAAAAAAACAAAACAGTGAGACAGTGAGACAGTGAGAGTGAGAGTGAGCGAGTGCGGCCGCAAGATACGCAACGCTAACCGCATGCCAAAGAGCGACGACAGGACGGAGTCGAACTTACGAAGAGGGAGGAGGGAGGGAGGGAGGGAGAGAAGGTGGGAGGAAGTGGGAGGAAGACAAGGAGGAGGAGAGGGGAGGTGGGGTGGGGAGAGGGGAAAGGGGAGAGGGGAGGAGGGAGAGGGGGGGGGGGGGGGCTTCGACCTGAAAAATCAGGGGTTAGGATTTGCACCGGGTGGAAAGAAACCTTGCTATCGCAAGAGTAACTCCAGCTAGCTTCGCTAGCTTTCGTGACAAAACTTTGAAAAGAGTAACCGTTGTTTACATCCACCCAAGATCCCGTGGAGCATCTTATGAGCATATATATATATGCATATATTAGCTTTCAAGAAATCTCAGCAACAGCGTATATATTGAGAAAGTATCACCCAACAGCTACTTGGGTGTGTAAATAGGGAGACCTCCCAGGCGTTCCGACCCCTGGAAGCTTCGGAACATAGACCGCAACATACCGCAGCCCATAGGTTTCATGGGGGTTCCCTTGTTTAACATTTACACACCCACCATCATCCACCCATTTCGTCCATTTGCATCTATTTGCCCCTCCTGTCGCGTCAGGACCCATTGGAGGCTCACCCCTCGCTCTACTCGGTCAGTCCCCTCCTATCGCTTTACTCGTCTTTCGTGAAGCAAAGACCCTTGGACGGCCGTCGTTGGAAGGAAACTTGAAAGGATCAGATTCTTGACCGACTCGTGCTTATCATAACGGGATGGGGGGTCATTCCCTCATTCCCTACTAAGCACCGGGCAGTTGAGTCAAGCAAAAAACGCACCAAAGCACGGACATTTTGCCACGAGCAAAGCAGCCCAATTCCGGAGTCCTGCAACAGAGGTCACGCGACACGCGGAGAGCCTTGATCCGCATCTTCTTGGTCGACCAAACACCAAGTGACTGTGAAGCATTCTTGGGCTCGCACGACAGATGGTGGTTATAATATGTATTCTTCCAAACATGGTCGGATGGTCTGGTGAGGCTGCTTTTCTTCATGGCTTCGTGGAAGCCAATGAAGAGTGGAGTGGATGAGAAAGTAGGATAGTGGAGTGATGTTGCCAGTAAAACAGTGACAGTTACAAATATGGCTGTGGGTCAAAAGGCACCCTGGTTGACCCCGAACATGAACAAATTCCTCTATCATATAAGGGGCGTCAACCTGCCTGCCATGGTTCTGTGCGGGAGTTAACATGACTCACCACGACCGCAAAGCATCGGAAAGTCTGACAAGGTATTTTGGCCTCCCACCGTGGGAGCACTGGGCAGACCGTGGTTCTTCTTTATGTCTCCTCACATGTCTGGACACATCCTCCTTGTAGATGGGGATCTGTAGACATCCTCAAGTTCCCCCAAAAAAGACCCCTAGACCCGTGACTCTAGATTTCTCCTTGTGATTTTAGGAAGAAGAACCCCCACATTCCCTGATCCCGACGGCACTGTGGTCCTGCTGCTCGTGCAGTCCTGAGCCGCTCTTCAGCCTGACGGAATCCGGTCCTGGTTGGTCCATTCAGGGAGATTCTGAGTTGCCGATCCGTAACCCTGAGTTGCCGATTGTCCCACCATGTTGTCACAGTTGTTTAATGTTCGTATTTCAACTATAAGTTACTTTCTTTTCTCACCCTGAGGCAGTTTCTTTTTTGTTCAGAATGAGCCGTATGGGCCTTATGGCAAACATCGCTAGATTCCACTCCCGGAAGCAGCTATATTTCACCACATTCCAGTCGACACGAGTGGCGAAGAAACGACAACCTCCGCAAGGTGCGAGCTTGTCTCGACCTGGCCCCCACAGCTTGTTGTCTCGACCCACAAACCGTTGTTTTTGGGAACATGTGGGGAAACCAATCCCAAAAAGGTTAGGTAGATTATCCACCTAATTTGGCAAATGTGTGCAAGTATTCCAGGTTTGCGCACAAGTATTTGGAATAGTCAGGTGGATCGAATGTTGAACGGTGTATGATGG